GGGCTCGAACTCCCAGACCGCGAGATCGTGACCTGGCTGAAGTCGGACGCTCAACCGACTGCGCCACCCAGGCGCCCCAGAAATATTTGTATTTTTATCTGTCAGCTTCAAATGTGGGGAATTAAAGAAATGGTGGTGGACTAGAAGGGGATCATCCACAATCTTGCTAACAAAGGCAACCAGTGTTATTCTGACATTTGTCCCCCCCACCCCACCCCCTTGTCAGTGCACTTTCTTTTCCTTATCCGAGTGAGATTATACAGTTTGGCTATGATCATAAGATCATCAAACTCAAAACTGAACTGGATGTCCTCTTCCCTAAACTTTTCTTATGTTGTCTGGATCATCTCAGCATCCACCTTCACGTACCATACCAGGACCTGGGAGCTGTCTCTCTCTTCCCTCGCATCCGCTCAGACTCTTAAATCATGACAGTTACATTTTCTGAATATTTTTGGTTGTCTCTTTCTCTCTCTTCTCTTGCCACTTTTCCGGGTCAAAGCCTTCATTGATTTATCTCTGAACTCATGCAATAATAGAGCCTGTCTCCAGCATTATCTCCCTCAATTCTGTGCAAATGTCACTTAGATGATACATTTAAGATGCCTCTCTGACCATGCAACTTCCCTACTTAAAGCCTTTGAAACTCTTCAGTGTTCCTCATTCCCTTTCAGATAAATCCAAGCTCCTAAGCATGGCCCATGTATCTGTGGCCACACCCCCTGCCAGATTTAGCCCCTGATACTCCCTGTCCAGTATCACTGACATCCTTACAGCTCCCCCTCCTCCCCTTCCTCACCACTGCTGGGGATGTTTTCTTGTTCATGTGCCTCACGCAGGCTCCCTGCTTCGAGCGCCTGTTGTCTTTCACTGTCTTCCCCTCGTCAGTGCCTACTCATTTATTCAGGCCGGTCAGCTCCTCTAACTGCCTGACCCCCCTGTTCCGAAGCTGGGTTTCTGGGTGCAAATCTCTGCCATTAGCTTTTCTTCCATTCGTTTATTCAACGAATGCCACCATCTAATCAACAACATCGTGTGAGGCAGAATTTTAAGCTCTGGGATATAGCAGACGATTTTAACAAGTTCCTTCCCTAAAGGAGCTTACATTCCAGTGAAGGGAGATACACGATGATGAGTAAAAATACATGTCATAGGTGATAATGCTATGCTGATAAATAGAGTAAGAGGAATGGAATGGAGAAGAGGCTCCTATTTAAAGGACATAGGGAAGCCTTCAGTGGTGATGGGGCCTTAGAGCAGAGACCTGATGGAAGTGAGAGTGAGCCATGCACACGTGTGGAGACACCTGCAGATGAACATGCTTAGTGTGTTCCGTGATCGGTGAGGAAGGCAGTGTGCTTAAGGTGGAATGAGTGAGGGAGAGCGGGTGGAAGGTGACATCAGAGAGTTAATGCCAACCAGGTTATGAGGAGGAATGTAGGCCATTAGGAGGACTTTGGCTTTTGGCGTTTACTCTGAGACCAGAAGCCCAGGAGGCCTTTGTGCGAAGAAGGGACAGGATGTGGCTGTGTGCTAGGAAGACCCCTCTGACTCCTGGGGGTAGTGCTGGAAAGGGGCAGAGGCATGGAGACGGTTAGAAGGGATCGCTGTCGTAGTCCAGGTAATAGGGGACGGGGGCTTGGACTGATCAGAGAGAGCCAGTGGAGGCAGCAGGAAGTGATTGGGTTTTGGATGTGTGTTGAAGGTAGAGCCAACAGGATTTATAACAGATTCCATACGGAGTAGGAGGAAAAGACGGGAATCAGGTTGACTTTTGAGTTTTGTTCTGAACAGCTAGAAAGACAAAATTGCTATAAAATGGGAAGGTGGCAGGAGAGGTTCAGATACAAGTTGAAACAACCTATCAGGCCTCCGATTGGAGATGCTGAGTAGGTAGCTGGAGGTGTGCATCTGGACTCCAGAGGACAGGACTGAGCTCGAGATGTCACCCTGCAAGCTGACAGGATAAGGAGAAACTGCATAGTCAGGATTTGTTGACATTTCTTTTTTTTTTTATTTTTTTTAATTTTTTTAACATTTATTCATTTTTGAAAGACAGAGAGAGACAGAGTGTGGGTGGGGGAGGGTCAGAGAGAGAGGGAGACACAGAATCTGAAACGGGCTCCAGGCTCCGAGCTGTCAGCACAGAGCCCAACACGGGGCTCGAACTCACTCACGGACCACGAGATCATGACCTGAGCGGAAGTCGGCCGCTCAACCGACTGGGCCACCCAGGTGCCCCAGGATTTGTTGATATTTCAAAAGTGTGGAATTAGATGGGACAGAAGACAGGAGGAGAGATGACTGAGTCCTGGAATATTCCAAACTGTAGAGGCCAGTGTGACCCAGAGGACCCAGCAAAGGATGCTGGGTGGTGAGGTCACAGGAGAACCAGAGAGAGCAAGAGCAAGTGAAACAGGTGTTTGCAGCGGGAGGGAGTGATGACCCGTGTCCTGTGTTGCACATGGGTCAGATGAGGTGAGGACAGCGTATTGAAAGTCCGTTTATGTAACTGTATGAGCCTTCTTCGTTTGGCTGAGAACTCACCTGAAGCAGGGGCGCGTACCGCTCTGACACGGGTGGTATGCATATGCTGTTGAACAGCTGTTTTCCTCAGGCTGGTTCTCTCACTACCTCTGAGCTCCAGTCTCATCTGTCAAATGGGGATGGTTTCCATTGAGTCATTGTGAGGATCCCGTGAGAGCTTCCAGATGAAGCGCTAAGCGTGGTCGCTTCCATGTATTAAACGTGTGATGGTTACCGTCATGATTTAGCGTACCTGGCGCAGCGCCCCTCCCTGTTGAGAAACGTTTGTCAAATGCACGAGTGAGTTGCCTGTTGGTCTGACTGTTTCGTTCGTGGCGTCTCCCTTTGTGCCGGTGAGGTATTAACGTGGCGCTTTCTGGGTTTCCCTGGGATGTAGCGCCGATCCGCAGAAAGCGGATTCCGGAAGAAGAGAGGGGGAGACGTCCTCGGGGCAGAGCTGATGCGATGGAGCTCCCCAACTATAGCCGGCAGCTGCTGCAGCAGCTCTACACCCTGTGCAAGGAGCAGCAGTTCTGTGACTGCACCATTTCCATTGGCACCATTTACTTCCGGGCCCACAAGCTCGTCCTGGCCGCGGCCAGCCTCCTGTTCAAAACCCTGCTGGACAACACCGACACCATCTCCATCGACGCGTCTGTGGTGAGCCCCGAGGAGTTTGCCCTCTTGCTGGAAATGATGTACACTGGCAAGCTGCCTGTGGGCAAGCACAACTTCTCCAAAATCATCTCTTTAGCCGACAGCCTGCAGATGTTTGACGTGGCCGTTAGTTGTAAAAACCTTCTGACCGACCTCGTAAGCTGCTCCGTTCAGGGCCAGGTGGCGAGGGATGTCTCCGCACCGTCCTCAGAGTCATTCAGGAAGGAGCCCGAGAAGCCCGAGGTGGAAATCCTTTCCCCTGAGGGTGCCGGAGAGCCTCGTTGTTCCCTGGAGGATTCTGCCCCTCCGGGGGGCCCGGTGAAAGCCGAGACCGAGGAGGCGGTCCATACGGCTGCACAGGAGATGAGCGTGGGTCCTTCCACTGCCCAGGAGATTCCGGGGAATGCAGACGCCCCGGTGGAGACTCCTCGTCCAGCTGAAGTTTGTTCCCCCTCCCCTGCCGGACAAGCCTTTAGTGCGGCGAAGGAGGCGAGCACGGAACCAGGTAACATTCACGTAATAGTTGTTTTGGGATCCTCCCTCTGTTGTCAGTTACTATGTTCAGTGACTCTTGTGGATTTTTTGTTTCTTTTTTTTAAAGTTTGTTTATTTTTGAGAGAGAGAGAGTGAAGGGGAGGGGCAGAAGGAGACGGAGAGAATCCCAAGTAGGCTCCGGGCTGCCAGTGCATAGTGAACCCGGGGCTCGAATTCAGGAAATGTGAGATCGTGACCTGCGTGAAACCAAGAACCGGACGCTCAACCCACGGAGCCACCCAGGCGCCCCATGAATTCTTTTGTTTCAGTGATGAATTTACTGAAGACCACTGCTAGATAGGCACCCAAAATCTAGTCCAGTCCCACACAAAATCCGAAGCAAAACTCCTCCTGGGGCATTCTTCTTTTAAAAGTGTTTGTGTTTTTGAGTGTTGGAAGTCTGAAGATGAACTACAGAGCAGAAAAGCAATACTGAAATAGTGATGTATCAGTTTTGATGCTTACCCATTATTCTAACCGGGATGAGGCTGGCACCAAAGAAGAAGCTGTAGGAGACACTGTTCTTTGTTACCCATAACTGATGTGTCAGGTGTCAGTTGTAGATGCAGTATATGCCCTAAAGGTCATCAGCTTAAACTTTTAAAAATCACTTCAAATAATGAATCACTGATTTTTTTTTTATTATGTTTTGTTTTGCACTCAGAGTATGAGAGGAAACGCCGTCAGCTGAATTTTCTTCTAGAAAATGAAAGTATCTTCTCTGATGCACTCTTGGTTACCCAGGATGTTTTAAAAAGACTAGAAGAATGTTCAGAAATTAAAGGTGCACAGGAGGAGGTAGGTCCTGCGAGTTTTGTTTGTTTGCTGGTGTAGACAGCCTTCCATATGGGGCAGAACGATGAAAATGCAAAATACCTCAGGTCTCAATTTTTTCAAACTTAAATTTTTTTGACATTTAGTCTCTAAAGAGCCGTCTTTCAACAGTACTAGGCAATGTGCTTTCAAATCCTGAATCCCAGCTTTCAACCGGTTTTGATCCAGGATGCTTAACTGATCATACCATTTCCTCCTGATTAATCAAGGGTAAAATGAAGCAGAGGGTAGTCATGGATAACCCCAAATCAAGATCAAATGATAAAAACCAAAGCAGAACAACAGGAAATATTCAAAATGTGGCACGTCAAGGATTTAATACAAACCTTACATAGTGAACTGTAGTCAGTGTTTAGGAATACAGTAGCCATTTTCAGACACAAAACAGTAATGGTGAACATTTATTGAGTACTTAATATGCTACACTTGGGACACATGTTATCACATTTAATTCTGACAGAAATCACCAGGGTGGATTTTACTCTTTTCTAGCCCTATTCTGTGGAAGAGAAAACTGTCTCAAGGAGGTAATATAACGTGGCCAAGGTCACAGAGCTCGTAGGACTGAGCAGTAATTCAGACCAAACCACTTTGACTTTAGAGCTAGCTGTTCCTTTGCACACTGGGTTTTACTGCCAGTAGGGTAAAAATGATACACATTTGTCATGTATGTATAAATGTTTAAGAATTGCCCGACAGAAAACCGCCCAGTGGCTTATCATGCTCTTTTTCTTAGCTGACCTTTTCTCCTTTTCAGTATCTTGGTAAGACGCATCTCCACCTGTGGGCTTCCCACTACCTGATTCCTCAGATCTTGAACCTACAGGATGGATTCCACGGCCACTTTAGAACTCCTTGTGCTTCTTTCTTCACCCAGCCGTGCCTCCCGTGCTGAGAGGGGCTGGCACAGCCAGCGGGCACTGTGCCTGCAGGCTCATCTGAGGGGTGGAGTGGGGTGGGGGAGGCCTCCCATGTTGCTGTTAGTTACCATAATCCAAGCAGTAAATGTCTTCTACTATTTAAGTATTTCCCCGATTCATAGCAAGTTACTTAAAAAAAAAAAAAAAAAAAATTCAAGGTCAAGTATTTATTTTGACCGTGGTTAATCAGTAGTTGGCTGTAAATTATTTTCTTGAGAGAGAAGCTTTTTATAAGACTGGGTTAACCCTGATGACTCTGGTAGGGAGGATACAGGTTGGTATCTTGGTACAAATCCTTGGTATTCTTTGTACCGATTATGTTGAAGGACATTATGATTTTATATTTTTGCACTTGGATGTTCTCTTAACTGTTCGGTGTATCATTTTTGTCACTAGTTTGTTACCTTGATAGCTTATAGACACATCTCTTCATTTGTTCTCTTAGGACTTCCTCTCCACTTAATTTTGGTTATGGAGGAGCAAGAGCATCCCTTAGACCAGCAACACCCAAATTTTTAGTGTTGCCTGTGGACGGACTTGCTTGAACTATGTGTTAAGCATTTTTTTCTAACGCTGGTACCTAAAATGTGCGGCAAATAACAAATGCTCAAGAAATTTTTGCTGTACATGGTTTCATTCAACATTTTTTCCCCTCCTGATTCTTGTCCTAATCTTTTGATGGCAGTAACATTAATAATACTTTGAAAGAACACTGATTCACTGTTGGGGATCATTATAGGCTTATGTTATTTTTTCTCAGTTTTAGAGATGAGAGTAAGAGCTCTACAAATCACTTGGTGGCTGTATTTAAAACGGAGTCTGTTATAGTCCATAATAAACCTTTCAGTTACAGAAAGAAAAAGAAAAACGGCTAAAGAGCATCAGATTAAATTAACATATAGAGTTGGTGAAGTGCTGCTTTGTACTTAGGCCCTGTACTTCTGTCTCACTTTTTTAATGTTTGTTTGTTTTTGAGAGATAGGGAGTGTGAGTGGGGGAAGGGCAGAGAGAGAGGGAGACACAGAATCCTAAGCAGGCTCCAGGCTCTGAGCTGTCAGCACAGAGCCTGACACGGGGCTCGAACCCGTGAACCAGAGATCATGACCTGAGCCGAAGCCGGACGCTTAACCGACTGAGCCACCCAGGTGCCCCATCTGTCACTTTTTAACTTCCCTTTAGACAGGTTTATTAAGGTATGATTGACATACAGCAAGATGTATGTATTTAAAGTGTGCAGTTTGATAAGTTTTAAAACCTGAAACCATCACCACAAGCAAGATATTGAACATATCCATCACCCTTAAGTTTACTTATGCCCTTGGTAATCCCTTCTCCCTTCTCCCCCCGCTCCCCCCTTTCAACTTACCCATCCCTGGGTGATAGTGACCTGCTTTCTCTCTGTAAGTGAATTTGTATTTTCTAGAGTATTATATACAAATGGAGTCATATAGTCAATATATATTTTTTGGTCTGGCTTCTTGCATTCAGTATAATTCTTCTGAGGTCTATCCATGTCATTGTATGTTTATTCCTTTTTTATGCCCGAGCAGAGTTCCAGTGTGGATATACAATTATTTTATTCAGCTCTCCCGTTTGCTAGTGTTGTGCTCTCAAACAACTTAATCTCTATAAACGTTAATTTCTTAATTTGTAAAACAGGAATGTTATCACCTACATTACAGGATCGTTGTCAAATTAATAAAGATTATTGATGTAAAACTCACACTAAAATGTCAGGCACATAGAAAGAGCTCAGTTGGTGGTGACTGCTGTTGTTTGTTTTTACATCAACTCTCTATTTTTAGGCCTAGTTGACTTTGAAACGCGTTTTTTACTTAATGCCTTATAATATCCTCGTTCCATGGTCGTTTTCTCTGACACATGAGATGGATCGCTGTTTCTTTAAGTTTAATTTGCAAGTCATGCTTTTAAACAGGTACCATTACCCGCCTGGAAGTACCTTCCCGAACTGCAGGTGTAGCGTCTTGTACAAAGCCATCGGTCTCTAGGACAATAGGTTCAGTGTATATAAAAATTATCCGGTGTACTTGTTAAAACTTACACCTCCAAACCTCATTTCCAGAGGGTCTGATTCTTAGGTTGTGGTAGAGTTTGGGGAATCTACGTCTTTAACAGTCTCCCCGTTTTGCTGCTTTGGTATCTGTAGACCACATTTCTCAGAAGCACTGTCAGAGAAGTTCATGGCTCACACAATTCTTCATGTATGATGGCAGATGTCACAGTGTGCTGCTGCCTCTCAGTGATTTGAGGGGCCACCAAGCAACATTGTTCCCAAGTGTTACTCTTTGCTTACCCTTGATTCAGCAAATATTTACTGAGCAGCTGGTAAGTGCCAGGCATTGAGCTGGTTGCTAGGAAAAGAAAAGGAAATAAGACTGGATCCCTATCCTTATAGCAAAGAAGTCCTGCCACACATGTAATTATTTTTTGGAAGTCCCCAAACTATGGGAATCCCCAGAAGGCCTCAGTATTGAAAGCATCTGCAAACTGTTCACTTGAAACATCAGTCTGCATTTCAGCTACAATCGTAAAGGTTGGGAGCTTGTTTGTTATTTTTCTGTTTAAACATTTTTAGCTCCCAAGGAGCTTTGAATGCTTTTTGCTGTTGTTATTTGGTTAATCAGCATAACATTAAGAAGACAGCTTAACATTAAAAATAATCTGTGCTTAGATGTGTAATTTTGAGGCTTGTTAAGGCTTGTGAGCATTCTGTTGAGATGGACCAGCCTGTTCCTTTTCTGAAACACAGATATAGGGTGTGCACCTGGCCTGGACTGGGTTTCAGGAAGACACCATCAACTAGTGTCCTGATTATTCTCTTTCCTGAGATATATGATGAAAGGTGGCAAAGCCATTCCCCGAGCGGTGATTGCGGCAACATGAGAGGAGGCCGGGCTGCTTGGGTTGTGTGCAACCAAAGCCAAAACTGATTAAGGAGAAATCTCTTGGGTGCTGGGATGGGAAAGTGGCTTCTGCCTGTCTTTATCTCAGTGTAATATTGCTGCCCATTAGAAAAAGCAGATCCTGACCTTAACAGGCTTTCTGGCTGAGCTGAGCAAAACCTCTGTTTAAAGGCAAGCTCATATTTTTTTTCAGCTGTAATGCAGGAACTTTTAATTGTCTTTTTTCTTTATTCCTAGCCATGTCCCTGCTTTTAATTAGTTGTGTATATAGCAGAGTGAATCTATGACTAGAATAAGGAGATAACTTCTACTATTGATTTCCTTGCTGTTTGATCCCCTTTTCTCCTAAAGTTCTAGAAAGACTCCCAAAGCTTAAGATCTAGTAGCATTTTTTTCTCCTTCAACTTTGTTTCAAAGGCAAACAAGTCTCCCATGTGAATGTGATGTTTTCAAACACGTCACTATTTTGGAGGTTTGTCAAGAAGTGCAGGTCTGTGTCTTGTGGACTGTGTTCACTGACATTGTAGGGTGACCCTGTTGAGAAGTTAATAGGATTCATTTTAAAGGCCTATGAGAAATGAAAATAAGTTGTTGTTTTTCCAAAGCTTCTCTCTGCAAATTATTAAGTCTAAGATATGCAGCCATAGGTAGAAGGGCTATTGGTTTTATGGCAAGGGAATTTCATGCAGTTAAACAAGTATTTATTAAGCACCTACTGTGTACCAGTCTATGTACAAATCATCGGTACCAGGAGGAATGCTACAGATGGTCAAGATATGACCCAGTGTTCAAAGTGATGTTGATTCTAGTAAGTCCATTACAATGCAGTATAAACGGATTTGGGTATACTCAAAATCTGGGAGTTGGAACTATGAAAAGGGTTCCAGGTCAATGGAATCAGCTCAGTGTTTCCTCCAGGGAACTCTTCTTCCTGGCCATGCAGCCTTGGGCAGGTTACCTCACCTCTTTGACTCATTTAGGTAGTTGTAGAAGTAATGCCCCCTAGGACTGATGTGAGGGGTTAAGGAGACGGCATATATGCACAGTGTCTGGGATGGTGTTGAGCTCGTGTGGTCTGTATCATTAGTGCCATCATCTGGCTCGGCATTCAAGGGAGGAGTGAGTGAACAAGAATATAGCATAGCTCAAACAGACCCAAAGGCAGTAGGCAGACAGTTGGGAAAAATAAGTAAATTCAATTAAAACACCTTCGTACAAGGCAAAGATTAAATTTTTAAAAGGAAACTGTCCCATCTTTAAATCTACTGACCTGTAATTCATTCATAAATCAAAGTACTCTGTGAATACATGTGTGACCATAAATTGATACGAATTTATTGAAGTACCTTTAACTCTAAGAATCCAAGGAATTCCAAGTGTATGGTTAAAGAGCAAAACTCGGTTTTGGGTTCATCTCTCAGAGTTCTGGTACACGATCGCCATAAGTGAATCTCAGTCTGCCGCAATATGTGACACCCTCTGTTCAGGCAGATACGCTATTTCAGAAAAGGGCTCACCGCACGGCGGAGCCCCAGGCAGCTTCGGAGGCTGATGGAGTAACAGTTAAAATGCTGGCTCTGGTGCCAGGTCCCCAGTAGGTTCTGGAAGAAAGAGCAAAGAGCAGGGCTGTCCAGGCAACTGACTGCTCCCTCCTGGCCCTTTCATCAGCCCACCCCTGCTCATCTTCCCAGATGGTCACACCCTAGCGTCACTGCTGAGCAATGAAGTTAACAAATGTTTTAATTTCACTGCTGAGCAGTTCTGCCGAGGAGGAGACAGCGGAGAGGATAATGAGAAGCACATCAGATGCCACCATTGATGAAAGCTTTTCTTCCCCACCGGCTCATGTGATAATGCCCGACAAATTGGATACTGGAGAGAGGTGGATTCGGGATATTCAGAGAGCTCCGGGTGAAAGAACGCCAGCTTCGGATAGAGGAGGATGGCTAAATGCTGTATCGGTTAAGATGCATCGAAGAAAGAGTGGAAGGAAAGTGAAAATGAAGAGGGAGAAACCCGTTAGTTACTAAGGGCATTAGCACTGACTGGGTCTGTGTTAGTTATTTGTTGCCCTGTAACAGATTAACATTTAGCAGTTTAAAAGAGCACACATTTATGACCTCGCCGTTTCTGTTGGTCAGGAATCTAGGCGTGCCTAGCCGAGCCCCTGGCTCAAGGTGCCTAGGAGGTCTGTGTCAGGGTGCATCAGCCAAGGCCGCAGACAGCCCCTGCCTGGGCTGGGTTGGAGTGGGGGTGGGGAGTGTGTCGTTCTAAGTACACCCACGTGACTGTTGGCAGGGTTCTGAAGACTGACTTTCAAGCCCGCTCGCTGAGTGTTGGCCGGAGACATAGTTCCCGCCACGTGGGCCTCTCCATAGGGCAGCTCACAAAACGGCAGCCTGCCTCGAGAGCCAAGACGGGCCACGCCCACACAGACGAGACGGAAGTCCTAGTAACTTGGCCTCAGAAGTGCCTTCCCGTGACTCCTGCCATATTCTTTGCCTTAGAAGCACGTCATCGGTCTCAGCCTGAGGGCACGAATACCTGGTGACGGGGGCTGCCTGCCTCCTACTGCCATCAGAGAAAAGGCATTCTCTGAAGAGGTTTTAGGTGGACCAACAAAGGTACAGAAGGCTGAATAAATGTGACTGAAGGGGATTGAGCATTCAACTGAGTGGGTATCTCGTTTGTCTATTGTTTTTAAAATAGAGACAAGATGAGTGACTTCAGGTTCTTGGAAGTTACTTAATTCACTTAATATGGATTCCTAAACTGGGTTTTATCTGAATTTACTTTTGTACCTGACTAAAAATCCTAGGAACCAGGTTTAACTTGGCTTTCTACAGCCATTCTGTGATCAGAAAGCAAGCTCAAGCAAAGCCAAGAAACACAAAGCCTAACTCGTTCCTAATTCCTGTTTATTTGGGAGGAGAAAAGGATAAAAATCTCTCTCAACAAAAATTTTAAACCTGTAATTACTACCAGAATTGATAAGAACTATCTAGATGAATTTTGCAAGTGTAGATTTTCATGAGATCCTTTCATGTTGTCTGTATGTGTAGAAAACCATAACTTTTTGCTTTCTTGTGCAAAAACTCTTCTTTTATAGTATCGACACTAAAAATGATCAAAGGTAGGTTGTAGTTTTGCCAACTGGAAATACAAAGGCTATGCACGTGAAATTAACTTTCGGTTCCTTATTTTTAAAAGTAAACCCGTTATTGCTAAAATAGAAATATTAACCCTTCTTTCCAGTTGGCCTTCCTCCCGCTAATTTTGTTTTATTTCACCACCAGAGTTGCTGATATTTTAGTACTCCAGGGTCAGAAGAGTCCAGATGGTGGCATTTGGTGCCAAGACCTCTGGAGGATAAGGCATTTCTGGGGGAAATTGTGTGGCTCTAGACTTAAACGGAAAGCTTCGGATTAGAGAGCTAGCTTTCAGGGGGATCTGCCTAGAGGTGATATAAAAAGTATATGTGTGAGAGCTTTTCCAAAGGGAGAGCATAATGGAAGAAAAAGGACAGAGTTGAGACCAATTTTTGGTACTGCTGATAGGTAGAGATTTGGAAGGAAAGCCAGTGAGGAAGGCTGAGAAGGAGGGGTCAGAAAGGCTGGTGCTTATCCACACCAAATGCTTCAGTGTTACAAAGTCAGAGGAGCCCGGGGCCCCTGGGTGGCATCCTACTCTTGATTTTGGTTCGGATCACAATCCCAGAGTCATTGGATCAAGCCCCGTGTCGGGCTCTGTGCTGAGCATGGAGCCTGCTTAAGATTAATTTTCTCCCCGCACCCCTCTCTCCTCCCCCTTCCTCTCTCCCCGTCTCCCCCACTCAATGTTGTCTCATGCAAGGGACACAGAAATGCCATATACCACAGAAAGGCCAAACAGGCAGGGATCAAATTGGTTAGGGCCTCACTCTCCAAATCCAAAGAGCTCGGGGTTCTTGTGGCCGGCTGATCTCTCTTGTTGGTTACTTGTGTTCACAGACTATAATGGGGTGTCTTGAGGGTGAAGAAGGACGTTCAGCATTCCAGAGAATCCTGGATAAAGTAAGAGATGAGAGCCTGGATGTTCAGACTGTTGTGTCTCTGTTGAGGCTATACCAAGATTCCAATCCTGCAGTAAAGGCAGCGTTGTTACACAGAAAGCCAGAAGACGTACAAGCAGCGCAGCCAGAAGGTAGGAGAAAACCCTGTCCACCCAAGTGGCTCGAGTTTTGTTCTGGGAAGATGCTGTCAAGTTTGCTCCAGTGGCTTAGTTGCCATGAAGTGATTTTCCACATCAATTCTGCCTGTAATTCCAGAAGCCGCCTGTTAAATGTATACAACCTAAACTTGAGCCTCCATTTCTATCCCCTAGTTAACTAGTCCGACACCTTGAAGTTGGAGCAGACGGTCCGTGTTCTCCTGCCCCCTTCAAAAAGCCACACATCCCAGTCAGTGTTCTGACTGCCCAGGTCACGTGAACTGGTTTGCCAGCAGCACTTGCCGCTGAAGTTTCTCCCGCTTGGGTTAGGTACAAAGCAGTGGTCTTGCCAACCAGAAGTTAACCTCTGGCTGGCTCTGCAGCTTTGTGTTTCGACAGATAAATGAAACATTTTTCCTTTCATAGAGTTTAAACAGAATAATAAAGTATTTTCCTCTCCAAAAAGAGATTCTGCATTCGGGTGCTCAAAATAGGCTGAGAATCACTTTCCTATTCCGTTAGATCTCTCTTGACAAACCATGCTGTCATTTTCTTCAAATTGACTAGCTTCTCTGGTGTGTGTCTCTAACTCTTTCTCCCCCAGGGAGCACAGAGGAGGGAAAGACCTTGTCTGCTCTGTTACTGGAACACAAAGAGGACCTGATCCTGTGTGTCACACAGCTGAGACCCATCCTGGAGTTCCTGGAAACAGCCAAGGAGGAATTCCTAACTGGCGCTGAGAGAAGGGTAACCGTGTCAAGCATTTCTTCCTCCCTCCTGAATCTGCGTAGCACAGTTTTTAACCTCTCTGTGGCACGTAGCATTTTCTCCCTTGCAGTGTTTCTATGCCCGCTGCATAGAAAGCACCCTAAGGTTCACGTTCTTGATCCACGTCTCTTTGTATCCCCTGCAGCAGCTTGCTGAGGGCCTCGCACGTCATGGCGTACAATTAAACGCTTAGATGTGCGGGTGGGTGCACAGTCCTGCTCCGACTCGGTGAGTTTTTAATGTAAAAGTTGCCTCAAAGGTCAAAACGTCCAGGCGCATTTGTAATTATTATGACACTTTCCTTCTTTATAGAAAGGGTACACTGTTCATCGGTAGAAAAAAGTGGGGAAACCAGCAAAAACAAAAGAATTCAAATCTGTCACCGTCTCGCACTCCATGGTGACCACTGCTGACATTTTGGAGCACGTGCCCCTACGTATTCTCGTTTGAATCACCCAGAGACAGGCTTAGTAGCCAGGATAACCTGGTGTTTCTACTTACTGTACTGCGACTACACTTCGTCCCCGTAAGCTGGATTTTGGTAGCTGCATGGTATTCTGTTTAATGGACACACCATAATTCATTAGTTGTTTGTTGCGGCAGATCTGTTTCCGATTTTTTTTGCCATGATAAATGAGGTGGCAGAGAACATCCTTGCATACACATCTTTGCATACCTCTCAAATATTTTCCTTCGAGTAATTTCTAAGAAGTAAGATTTTGGAACAGAGAGTGTCAAAATGTTCAGGTGTTTGCTCTCTTTTGCCAAATTGCCCTTCAGAAAGGTTGTGCCAATTTACTCTCCCACCAGCCAGCTACTAAAATCCTCATAAAACTGCTAGCATGACTTCTCAAGTCAACTAGATAACTGTATTTGTTGGTGTTATTGATTTCAACTTTGTGCTAAAAATAGTTTTATATCTGGAAGGAAGGAATAGGGACAGAGCACTTCTGTGGCATCAGTTCTTAAAACTATGGGAAGTGGCTTGTATGTTGGGGAGAGAAAGTGTTTAGAAAGTAGTGGTAGAATGGCTGAGCACTGGATTAGTAGTGAAGACTGGCTCCTACCTAGATTCTCTGTTTTCAGTGATCTGAAACTGGAGTTTTTTCATACAAAATGGGAGCAATCTATAATCTCAAAATTATGTTCTATAAATTATGTTTCCAAAATTACAACTCCTTTGAATTTCTTAGAGAAAGACCGTATACAAAATAAGGTTAAACCTCTGGTTTCTCCTGAGACTTAAAATTAAATGTAATTTCAGGCACTCAGTTTAAGTAAGTTGCTGATAGCTTGAGAAGTACTTGATTCCCTGTTTAGGGATTTCATTCGATTACTCATTCAGACCTTTTTGTTATTAGCTGGATTGAATGTGTCCTTTGAACTGTTTCATTATCTCGGTGAAATAGCATTTATAGGAAGAGCCCAAACGGAGCCGCATTCCCTGCACCAAGACAGACCACGCTATCATTTTCTTCTGTCACTTTCAGTTTACTTGACAGAAAGGACTGAAGGAGAAGAACTTAAATTAGTTCTAAATCGCAAAAACACTTCTTAGAATCGGGGTTCTACCAGAGCTTCATTAAGCTACTTCTTCTCATGAAAATTGAAGCAAAATAATAAAGCAGGAGCGTAGAGGTGAATGTTGATTCGAATCGCCGCCGTGTTTTGACATGGTGTGGAGCGTTCACTCAGCCCTTTTAGAACTTTTCCCTGTTACGGGATGATGCTAATCAAGGCACCGTGGCCCTTATCTATCCATACCCTGGGTTCTGTAAGAAATGGTGAATAGAAATGTCTTTACTTCAGGATTGGAAACAGTCACAAGGAGGGTAACCCTACAGTTGTCTTTAACTTACTGCTTACTGTGTGCTGAGGACCTTTGAAACATTCCTCAGGTCTGCCCTCGCAGCAATTCCATGCCGTCATGGATGTTACTCTAATGTTAGAGATGACGAAACAGGAGCCACCTGGGTGGCTCAGTCAGTTGAGCACCCGATTTCGGCTCAGGTCACGATCTCACGGTTCGTGAGTTCTAGACCCGCATTGGGCTCGCTGCTGTCACACAGAGCCTGCTTCCGATCCTCTATTTCCCTCTCCCTGCCCCTCCCCCACTTGCGCTTTCTCAAAGATAAATAAACATTTAAAAAGATAATAAAATAAAGGTGAAGAAACAGACACTTGAGAAGGTTAGGCAGCTCACCCCAAGACACAGCTGCTGGGTGCCAGTCCTGGAACTCAGGAACTCTAAGCAAAGCACAGTTCTCTTAACCGCTGGGCATAGTGCTTCGTAATAATACCAATAGCCACTATCGTTTAAAGATCACATGTGTCCTAGAAGTTATGTCAGGCTCTACAAATAGCGACTTCACTTTATAGACTCCTCATAACCACTGTGCAAGGGCTGTTGTTATTCTCTTCTTCCACAGATAGGAAGATAAGGTTCAAAGAATTAAATAACTCACCCAGGGTCACACAGGCAATAAATTTTACGACTGGGGTTCCTACTAGGCCTGTCTGGCTTTAAAGCCTGTACCCACTCTTGACAGTTTCTGGCTGCCTCATTATGTATCAGAGAATTACTTAGGAACTAAGACATAGCAGTGAAATCAGTATGGGTTTTAGATAGAGACACTTTCACTTTAAATTATGATTCATTTAGTAGATATCTAGTACATATTAGACATTAAACAAAGAGAATGACTGTGTTCTGTACTGACGAGGAACATGACCACTTAATTTATAATGTATGCACGCCTTTCGTATGTATATAGGTGTTCCTTTCGTATACGTGAAACCAACTTGGTTTTATAACTACATTTACTTTTAAATGGGAGTTAATTTGACAATGGCATCCTCTGGCATGCAACTGTGACTGACCTGCTCCACTGTTTCTCCTGAAAGCTAGCATTTTCCCAAAGGAAAGCTCAAAATTTGGTTACTGGGAATCTGTAGATTACATGTGTTGAAATAATCTTCCACATTATCTATCAGTTCCAGAAGAGCCTAGTTCCACATAGTGAGTCGTAGTCTGTTAGGACTATTTTAATAGGAAAACAGCTGTAAAATAACAGTCATCTGTTTTACCTTTCAACCTTTTGCTGGAACCCCGTGTCCTTTTGACTCAGTAAATCCTCTAGCACACCGAGGAAGAAAAGGGGGCAGAGGTGGGGGCTGACGACTGGAGCTGATGTATGTGCAGAGCTGATAAGAGAGATCGAGAATGCAGAATCCACGAGAAAAACCATCCAGAAGTGCACTTTAAATCCATCATTTCGGAGGCCACAGACTAACGTGTAACTTATCTGGGCATTCAAATTGCTATGCAAATAAAGTAAAAGGAAGTAAAATAATAGGATTGCTCTGAAATTGCAGCCTCTTACCATGGTCATGAACTGTACTGAACAGAGGCTGAAAACCACTGTAACTGTACTCATTAATTTCCAGTCTGTTTCTCAGTGTCTGTGTCTGTGTCTGAACAAATCAGATCTGAAGAACGTGAGAGGTAAGCTACCTGCTCTGCCATATAGGCCTCGTGCAGGAATCTTCTCACAAAATGCAAACCATTGGGGGACAAAGAATGTACACAGACCTGCGTTTGAGAAGGAAGGATTCTCACAGAGCTATTTGTTTGGAGAATGCTCGGGATTTGTACTGACACAACACAAAGAAGAGACTGTGGGAACAGTGGCACTAGAGACGGCAGAGGAGGACCGGGGACAGGCGCCTCGTCCTCCCGTTTTGCTGGGCTCGCCAGCGGTGTGTTAGATGCACCGTGAATCGCTAGTAACCAGTGTCTGCCTGATTGCTTGCCGCTGCAGGTGATCCTGAATTGCTGCGAGGGCGGGACCCCCAAGGAGACCATAGAAAAGCTGCTGCACAGAATGTCTGAAGACAAGACTCTGACTGCAGAGAGTTTGGTAAAACTCCTTCAGGCTGTGAAACCGACGTCCCCAAACTTGGGCCTTCTGCTGGAGAATTTGCAGAAATTAGCCACTTCGCCAAGCACCACAGGTATTAGTTAATTGTCGGCTCTCTGGACTGGAACCTCTCCCAGAAAATTAGAGCTTAAATACCCTTTTGGCTCCATGCTGGGGAGATGAGATAATGGTAAGAGATGCCCTCGTGAAACAGAAACTAGCTGTCAGAGATCAGTGATCCTCCATAGTTCTGGAGTGAAGATCTGGAATCTGAGAATTGCTCTTCTCCATCACGTTTCCCTCATGATGTTCCTGTGGTTCGGGGTTTGTTAAGGTGTGGTTTTTCCAGGGTTGCCTCACATGGCACCCGTGAATGCCTGAGGAGCAGACGGGCTCACAGAGCGCATGGTTTTGACAAGCTGTGTTGATAAATACAAGCAGCAAAGACTCAGATCTTGATTTTCCCACTCCCGTTTGAGTGCTGTTTGGCTCTGGCAGTCCCCCGGATTAACCTTAAGCCCCTCATGTACCTTCTGTCTGGGGGAAGTGAGTCCGTGTCCCAGCCCTTAGGATAATGGGCCAAGTCTAGCCAGTTCTCCCCTGTCCCAGAGCACTTGAAACTGACAGGGCTTTCAGAGAAAGGGTAGTTGGAAAATGAGAGAACTTTTTTCTAGCTTACAGAAATAATGAATACTTATAGACTTGAACAATTTAAAAAATAAAGAAGAAAACAACCTCGGACCCTACCACTTGATTATTTTAGTGTTAAGACATTGACCTATTTTGTCACATTATTTTTACAACGTTGAGATATTCTATCATATTTTATAATTTTATCATTTCCTCCAGTGTACCATAAGCATTCTCCCCCACTTTTCGAAAAACTCCCTGTAACCCTATTTTTTGAAGGCTATGTAGTTTTCCATCATAAGGGTGTATATATCATGTATTACTCATGCCCTGTTAGGGTTACGTGTAGCGTAATGGTTAGGGCTATCAAGACTACCTGGGTTCGTGGGGCACCTGGGTGGCTCAGTTGATTAAGCTTCTGACTCTTGATTTTGGCTCAGGTCATGATTGCACGGTTCGTGGGATCGAGTCCCACGTTGGGCTCTGCGCTGGCAGCACAGAGCCTGCTCGGGATTCTCTGTCTGCCTCTCCCCTGCCCATGCTCACTTTCTCTCAAAATGAATTTTAAAAATAAATAAATAAACTTAAAAAAAAAAAAAAAAAAAAGACTACCTGAGTTTGTTATCCTGACTTACTTTGTAGCTGTGTGACCCTGAGCCAACGATTTAACTTCTCTGAACCTCATTTTCTCCTCTCTCAGATGGGGGTAAGAATGGTACCCATTACATTAATTTTTGTGGCCACTGTGAGATAATATATGTACGATACTTAGCACGTTTATTAGCACATCATAGACATTCAGTAAATGAGTGATATTTATGATATTAGCACATCATAGACAGTAAATATTAAGTGTTCTGTTCATCATCATCACAAATTATATAGTGACAGATACTTTTGTACACAGACTTTTTCCCTTCAGAGCATTTCTTTTTTTAATTTTTATTTTTTATTGTTTTTTAGAGAAAGAAAGTGCATACGTGCATGAATGGGGGGAAGGGCAGAGGGAGAGAGAGAATCTTAAGCAGGCTCCACATTTCAGCACAGAGCCTGATGCAGGGCTCGATCCCGTGACCCTAGGATCATGACCTGAGCTGAAACCAAGAGTCAACCCACTAAGCTTAACTCACTGAGCCACCGAGGTGCCTCCCCACCTCCCTTTTTAAAAGTGTTTTGAATTTTTTTTTTTTAAGATTTTATTTTTAAGTAATCTCTGCACCCAACCTGTAGCTTGAACTCACAGTCCCAAGATCGAGAGTCTGGTGTTCTACTGACTGAGCCAGCCAGGCACCCCCTTCTTAATGCATGATTCCCAGAAGTGGAGTTACTGGGCCAAAGAGGAGAATATTTGTAAAGCTAAAGGAAATGCCTGATGGTTTTTAGTTTTCTTTTAAATTAAATATAACTGTTTAAGAGAGAGTTACAGATTGGCTCAAAGGGCATATACACAAAACTTAAGTATAGCTTCACTACCAGAGTCTTGAGTCATGCCTGCTAGTGTTTTGGATTGCCGCATGGATCCTTAACCTCACGCTCGAGGAGTAACACCCCTTAAATCTGTACCTCTGGATCTCTCTTACAAGTGTGCCTTCTAATTACCTCCCTGTTGAGCAATCACTAGCTTCTGCCACTGAGCGCTGACTTTTAAAGCATTAGTGGTTTTGTGACCCTGAAGCACCAAGCGCTTAAGGGTAGACCAAAGGAGATCTGAACACATGTGTATGAGGCCCCAAGCTGGGAGCCAAATTTGCCTTCTAGAGGAGACAGAGCGCTGGCATTTCAGCTCTCTTCCTCTGTCAGCTCCCCTAACCTTGTGTAGGAGAAACCTGTAGGGGTGTTTCGTTGTCACAAACATTATTGTTTTGCTAATATCCCTGCAGTCCAAGCAAGCCCTGATGATTATGGGACTGAGCTGTTGAGACGGTATCACGAAAACCTTTTGGAGATTTTCACAGACAACCAGACATTACTAAAAATGATCCCACACATGAAGGGTTTAGCCCCTGGAGAGAGAGAGGTAAGAGAAAAAGAAGGGGGGAGGGAGGGAGGGTGGGTAAAATGAGAGAAGGAAAAAAGATGAACTTATATGCATACTTTAAAAATATATTTATATTACATAAATATACACACAGCCATATTGAGAAATGCTAAGGAGTCAGTAGAGGAGAAAGAAAACAAGATGATTTAATTTCTAGGGCACAGCGATAAGTTGGAAGTTGTAACTTCTGCAGTAATAAGAAAGGCATTCAGAAGGAAGTGTGAAGAACTTGGTCTTGTATAAAAGTCTCTCAGGTTGGGAGGTGAAGAATGTTGAAAAACCCCTCCCCAGAAATACGTCCACTGTAACCCAGGACCCCGACTTGCAGCTTTGCCACTTGTCTGGTGGCTAGAAAGTCCCTCACTGTATTTTTGTGCCACATTTTGAAGGTCATGGAGAAGCTTGTGAAACAGGACTCTGGCTCGGGTGGTTTCAGTTCTCTGATGTCAGCAGTTCTAGAAAAGCAGACTGTCTCTGCAACAGCCATTTGGCAACTGCTGCTGGTGGCTCAGGAGACAAAGACCTGCCCGTTGAACCTGCTCATGGAGGAAATACGAAGGGAGCCTGGTGCCGATGCTTTCTTCCGGGCAGGTAGGCTACCTGATCTCTGTCCTAGCTTTGCCCCTGGTAGAGATTATCGTCAGCCTTGCCAGAAACTAGAAAGAGCTCTCTATGGTCATCCTCCACATCCCCACCATTGGAAGTAAGGACTGGAAATTTTGTTCAAGGACATGGGGGGTTGTGAACCTTTGAAAATATGCAGAAATCTAAGCTGATATTAATTATACTGTAATTGCAGTGATGTTTGCCATTTTCCCCACTCCCAGCCCCAGGAAGAAGATCAGTGAAGTGTATTCTCACTATGAAGAGTGGAGCTGAGAAGGAGTGAAGGAAAAATGGTGTTCATAGTTCCAGTCATGAGTTTTTAATCCTCCTCTCTTTCAGCGACCAACCCAGAAAGTGCGGCCTTAGAAGCCATGCTGAGGCATCGCAGACTGATTCTAGAGGCCATCCAACAAGGGACTGGACTCAAGTGCTTTACCGCAGAGGAGGAGCAGCTGGCAGAGGCTGTGAAGGAGGTGCGAGGGGGCTGGGGGTGGGGGGGGGAATGACAAACATTTTTCCAGAGAATTCTACCAGGCCTGGGATGCTCTTGTTCCTAAGAGAGACACCAAATTCCGCAGAGTGCCTGTTGCCTGCTGAGCCAACCCTTCGCGGCACCTCTTTGTTTTTTTATTCTCCCAACTCTGTGTGGCAGGTGATGTCATCCACATTTTATAGATAAGGGAACCCGGGCTCCAAAGGGTTCCGTAGCATGTCTGGGATGCTCTGGCTGGTCAGAGTTGAAGCCAGGATTTGAACCCAGGCTCATGTGACTCAAACCTAGCTGTATTTCATTTGTCTAAACTTAGGTAAACTCAAAGGGAACCATGAGACTATTCCCCAACACGTTCTAAGACGCAACTGCTTTCAAAGGGAGGAGAGTAAAATTGGTCTTATTACATACTCTGTTCTGGCGTCTAGGAAGAGCCAAGATAAACATAGATAGAACAAAGCTTTTGCCCATATGGGGTAGCAAATAGCGCCAGCTCATTTTCTGTAAGGCTTCTCGGTGTGGCCCGCATCCCAGAAAAACCAGGTGGGGCTGGGGGGGGATTCATGGCTGTCCAGCCCAGGATCGTGTGCTTCTCCAGGGGGGGAAGAATTCTAAAGGGACTGAAATTCAACTACAGGTTCACCTGTAGTGCTTTTTAATCCAAGTAGGCGTGGATGGTGTGCCGAAGGGCTGGTTTCTAGCTCTGTCCACACAGGTGACAGCCCCACCTTGGCCTGACTCTCAGATGTGACGAAGGTGGTGCGTATTTCTTCGGGGCTTCAGAGGAAAGACGTACCACTAGGCTCTCTCCAACTCGCCTCGTGCTTCAGGAATGGGGCTCCTGCAGTTGATGAGTTTGAGCCTCGCTAATGAGTCTCAGGCCTGCCTCCAGGGACATCAGGTTTATTTAGATAGGCTTGAAAAGAGCAGAAATAAAATGTCTTCCCGAATGAAAATTCCATTTGGCCATCTGTGGATGGTTTTAGCTTTATTTTCTCAGTGTACTGACTCTTTCTGCTGATAGCTGTAACATTCTGAAAGAGGATGGCTTTGAAATCATATTCTTGGCCTCTTTAAAGCCCCTATTTGAACCTTCTTTAAAAAGCTGAGTTTTTTCATGAAAGAAAATGTTTAAAAGGGTACATCTAAGTGTCTAAAAATGTGAGGCCACTGATCATGCAGAATCACTTCCAGACGTTGAGACAATTATATATTATGAAAAATGATCTTGATCTTCAAGACAGAACCACCAGCTACCAAATCCTACAGCTTTCCAAGCTTTTAATATTAAGATCTAGAAAAGTTCTTTTGGAGACTCCTGGTTTCTGAGAAGATATTTCTCATAGAAAATGCTTAATGCTTCCTTGCTTGTGCCTTCTTTGTATTTGCACATTTGTCTTGACATCTGTCTCTTTTTTTTTTTTTTTTTTTTTTTTTTAATTTTGCCAATTTCCCTGTTCTTGGGGAAAAGAGGGTTCTCCACATTTATCACAAGAAATGTAAACTTGTTACAGAGAGAGCAGTGCATTCCTGAAATCAGCTTTTTTCCCTTAAGTTGAAAACCATGGAGAAAACTGCTGATACTAACCACAAACCTTTGTCTCCTGGTATTCATTTAGATTCTGAGCATTTCCCCTGAGACAGCCAGCCCTGAAGCTTCCCTGAAAGCAGTGCTGAGCAGAGCCACGGAAAAATCTGTCGCGGCCGTTGAAATATGTTCCCTCCTGTGCAGTGTCCACAGATCTTTCCCAGGCCTGCAGCCTGTCATGCATGAGTTGGCATACACTGGTAAGGAACAGAGTGGGGTGGGGGTCCTGTCAGGCCCGCGGGTGGTTCCCCTATTAGAGAGAAGAGGCAGTAGTTTGCACAAGAGTTCATCCATTGCTGCCTTACTCCTTCTGTATGCTCTCGGTACCTGGAGGAGTCCTAGGCTACGTGTGAAGCGATGCTCTTTACGTGTGTCGGCGAGTCAGGATGACAAGGGTATCACTTGAGAGTCTGAGGAGGGTCTCCAGTGTATCCTAAGAAGAAAAGTTGGGAAGCAAAGTAGAAACACAGGAGAATTTCCAGAGCCATGTGATTTCTCTTACATGCAGGCTTCCTTGAAACTCAGGAAGGTGGAGAGAAGGAAAGGTGGAAAGTGAGCAGTAAATTTCCCCACGCAGCCAACGACAGAACAGATGAGAAGGTACCCGAGCCAGCGGAGGAAGGCTGCCGGTCTGGGAAGCAGAGCAGTCAAGGAGAGACCGGCTCCTTGCCAGAGCCACAAGCGAAAAACACGTCTGCCTCCCCAGACCCTGCCAAGAAGAGCTTCGTCTGTAAGGCCTGTGACAAAAGCTTCCATTTCTACTGCCGTCTGAAGGTGCACATGAAGCGCTGCCGGGTGGCCAAGAGCAAACAGGTGCAGTGTAAGGAGTGCAGTGAGACCAAGGAGTCTAAGAAGGAGCTGGAAAAACATCAGCTGGAGGCCCACGGTGGAGGAGGAGAGCCCGATGCCCCGAAGAAGAAGAAGAAGAGGCTTCCAGTGACATGTGACCTTTGTGGGAGAGAATTTGCCCACGCCTCAGGTACTTTGAGGCGGGCGAGGTAACTTAAGAGGGTGATAATTCTGGACATCACGGTGTGGATTCCAGGCCTTGTGTCTCGTATGCAGTGAGGGCCGTGGACTGGCCTGGGGAACGGAGCGGGTTCCTACAGACGCGGGGTCATGTTTTGAGAAGAGCATGAGCTTTGGCGTCAGCTCTCTTAACTTCCCCACCTGTTAAGTAGGCGCCCTGATAGCACCCGTTTTTTTGAATTGTTGTCAAGATTTAAGATAATACGGTTACACACCTGATGTGCAGTGCCTACGACAGAGTTAGGACTTCGTGAACTGTGGCCATTATTATTCAGAATAACAGCCAGCTACTTAACACTCGACTCCTAGGTTTCCATGCTGTTACTTGTTTCTCGATAATAAGTAAGTCACAGAAACCGTGGGGTGTATAGCCAAAATTGTTTACCCTTATCCCAGATGTCAGGGAAACCTAATGAAACGTAAAGTGAGTTTTTGTTCCTCTGTGGCAGGTCCTATTTAAGAGAAAGAGGGGATGGGAAAGATAAACCCAGAACACTTCGTGCCTGAACCAAATGGGTGGGACCGAGGTGACCTCTGGAGTGCTGGGCGGTGGGTGGGTGAGCAGCATGGCTGTGTGAGGTTGGAGGGAGCGTGGCCTGCTGTCCTGTGGTTCATGCTGGGCTTCCTCTCGGGGCCCGGTCTCAGACAATGCTCTCGTGTCCTCCTGCTGGCTTCATCACGTTGCTTACTGGTGTCCCTCTGGTCCCTAGGCATGCAGTACCACAAACTGACAGAGCACTTTGATGAGAAGCCTTTCTCCTGTGAAGAGTGTGGAGCAAAGTTTGCGGCCAATTCTACCCTGAAGAACCACCTTCGCCTTCACACTGGGGACCGCCCGTTCATGTGCAAGCACTGCCTCATGACCTTTACCCAGGCCTCTGCCCTGGCCTACCACACCAAGAAGAAGCACTCGGAAGGCAAGGCGTGGAGAATTTCTTCATTTTCCCCGCCAACTTTAACTGTATGAATTGCCTAAAAACCCGTGGATCTAGGCATGATAAAGATCTCAGGTAGCTTACAAACAGCGACCGTGCAGCCTGTGGGCACACGGATGACCAGGAGTACATAGGTGCACAGGTGTGCAAAATGCTCCGGTGAGAGTTTGTGAAGAGAGGCTGGCTCACCTGGGCTGGTGACTTCATAGTTGGAATCTACATAAAGCCAGGGGTTCCTTGGGCTTCGAGGTGGAATTCAAGCTTCAGAAAAACCTTGGTTTAGCACCTGCTGTGGCGCTCGCAGCGGCAGGGGCTGAGTGATGAAGCTGGACGCCCTGTGCTCACAGAGCTGACGGTCTAGGGTGTGTCTGGGAAAGAGACAGGTGCCGTTGGAACAGGGAGTAACACTACCAGGGAGATGGAGGAATGAGGGAGGGGTTTCTAGTCCAGTCAGAGGGGAGGTGTGTTGTCAGAGAAGGCTTCTCGGGAGATTCTCTGCATCGTTCGGCACATTTCTGTGGAAGTGACGGTCCCACCGTCCTCTCACCCGGACTGCGGGAATAGCCACCCAACTGGCGTCCTGGCTCTCCCCTTCTCCCTGGACTGTGTTCTCGGTCCACAGGCCCCAGGGATCCTTTCAAAACTAAACCATATCCTCCCCCTTCTCTGCTCAAAACCTGTGTGCGAAGCCTGTTCGCCTCGCTTGGTGGAAAATCTGAAGGCCTTACGATAGCCTGCCAGGCTCCGTGTGACCAGGTCCCCTGGGACCTCTCCCCTGCCCACACCTTGTGGTTCTCTCCGCTGTACCTGCTGTGGGCCCCGCATTCTTGTCCTTCCCGCTGCTTGGAATGCTTTTCATCCCTCCCCACCTCCTTGGGCTCTTTATTCACACTTCTTCCCGTGAGTCCTTTCCTGACCGCCCCGTGTGAAATCTCAGCCCCAGCCCCCGTTCCCCTGCGTAGCTTGTCTCCACAGTACTTGTCACCGGCTATCTTATCTGCTTCATTAATTTACTGTGTTTCTAGTGAGTCTCCTCCTGTCAGAATGCCAGCTCCCTGAGGGTAGGGCTGTTAGTCTTTCCCCCCCACCACTGCATATTATTGGAACTTAGAATAGTACTTAGCAAGAGTAGATAGACACTCAGTAAACACTTACTGACTGAATGACTTTCCTGAGCACGATTCCGGGTAGCAGGGGCAGAGTCACTATACACAGCCTGCTCTCGTGGAGTTTACATCCCACTGGGTAAGAGAGACCATGAACAAAGGTGTAATATACAGTCAGATAGTAGTACTTGCCCTGACGAGAAGTAAAGCAGGGTGAGCGGCAGGAGGGCGGCAGGGCTGGGGTGGGGCGCCCTCTGTGTCGTCAGAGAAGGCCTCGATGAAATGAGGTTTTTGTGGAAACCCGAGTGAAGTGAGAGCCGGAACCGGTGGCAGATCTAGAAAAGCCTCACAGGCGCAGAACCCCCTCTCCAAGTGGGGATGAGCTTTGCCTGTTTAAGAGACCACAGGAAACTAGAAGGGGCCAAAGCAGCGTAAACGAGACAAGAGGGTGAGAGGTAAGGCTGGAGAGGTTGCCAGAGGCCAGGTCTCGTAAGGGTCTTGTTTTGTTTTGTTTTCTAAGTTGTTGTTTTTTTTTAAGTTTATTTGTCTATTCTGAGAGAGAGAGAGAGAGAGAGAGAGAGAGTGAGCACGTGTGTGCGCACACACACGAGTAGGGGAGGGGCAAGAGAGAGGGAAAATGGAGACACCCCCCCCCCCCCCGGGCAGGCTCTGCACTGTCAACATAGAGCCTGATGTGGGGCTCGAACTCACGAACCGCAAGATCACGACCTGAGCTAAAACCAAGGGTCGGACGCTTAACCAACTGAGCCACCCAGGTGCCTGTAAGGGTCTTGTAAGTCAAGGTCGGGACTGGTTGTTATGCAGAAAGTGCTAGTTTCTATTGCTGCTGTAACAAATTACCACACACAGTAGCTTAAAACAATGCAAACGTATTATCTTGCCATTTTAGAGGTAAGGGGGCCAAAAGAAGTTTTAATGAGCGTAGAGTCAAAATTTGGCAGGTGTGTTCCTTCTGGAGGCTCGGGGCAGAACTCGTTCCTTGTTTTCCCAGCTTCTAGAGGTTGTCTGCCTTCCCCAGCTCGTGGCCGTGGCGCTGCAACCTCTGTGTCCCTCATCCCGCCTCCTCCTCTGACCCTCCTTGCTCCCTCTTCCAAGGACCCTGGTGATTATGTTGGGCCTGCTGGTATAATCCAGGATAATCCTGTCATCTGAAGATCCTTAACTTAATCATATCTGCAAAGCCCCCTTTGTCATGTGAGGGGACACATTCCCAAGTTTCAGGGGCTAGGACGCGGACGTCCTTGAGGGCCATGATTCTACAGCAGGAAGCCATAGGACAGTTGTGAGCAGAAGATCCCTAGGATGTGACTTAGGGGTTTTGGAGTTAATTCTGGCGACTCCAGCCTGTCAGCTGTAATAGGGCAAGAGTGTGCCCAGGGAGGCGAGGTGGGCCAGTCATCTGGTGTGGAGGTGATGAGGCGCTCAGCTGGAGCTGTGCTAGGAGCGGTTGTAAAACGTTCATGTTTGAGAATGCGTTGTTGACACAGAAGTACAGGACCCACGCTGGGCTGGGTGCCGATGTGAGGGGGGAGTTTAGGGCGGCCTGGAGTTTCTGGCTTGAGCAACTGAGTACTAGATGGTGCTGCCGTTCACTGTAGTGAGGAACCTGGAGCGCGTGGGGGTGGGGGGTGCTGGGGTTGCTGGGGACAGGGAATTGGGAGCTGTGTCTGCAGTATCGGTTAGACCTCCAGGCGGAGAAGGAGGGTGATAGGCGGTTGGATGTGCAGGCCCGCAGTTCTGGGGAAAGCTGGGAGCCAGAGACAAAAACGTGGGCGTCGTCAGGGTACAGATGGCATCTGAGCTCTGAGATAAGGTTCTCTACAAAGTGTGAATAAGGAAGGCCAAGGGCTGAGTCCTGGGCTTCTTAATAATTCCACTCTTGATTGAAGAAACCCTTTTTTCCCTAACGAATCTTATTTCAAAGCCCAACATGTGCACAATGAAAATGGCATTGATTGCTCTCGTTGAAGCAGGCCCTAGGGTTTGGGGGACCTGGACCCTTGCCTCACTGATTTCTCCACTTCTCTGTTGGCCCATAATGAACATTGGAGGCACAGCTGGTCGAGTGGCTTACAGATGCCGGCATCTGAGCCTTGCTCTGTACCTGTATTTTCTAACAGTCTTTGGCAGTCTGGTTATTGTATTCTCATAATGTGCGTGAGGAAATAGAGAAGCCAAATGATTTATAATAACTTTATAGCAAGTCAGCGGGAGAAGGCTTCCATTCTCTGAGTCTCCGTCTGTTACCTTTACGTGACGTTGCAATTCTGCACTGTGGCTGTGGCAAGGGATCCAGACCCTGGGCATGAGGTTGTATCTGGGCATGAGAATTTCTGGGCATGAGGATGTATCTGTTTCCTGGGAGTGGAATGAGCTCTTCCATACTTGGGGTGGCCTGGTTAGCAGATGGGTGGTCTGTGTGATGAGAACTCTGTCCTCATTCCTCAGGGGAGAGAGACCACACTGTGCCATCAGCTGTGTGTGTGCCGCCGTCTGATAGAGGGGCTCAGACCTCTCACCCGGTGTGTTGCAAATTGCTTATGGTTTAATGTCCTCTCCCAGATCATATTCCCCACCATGTGCCTTGCAGCGTGAGCTTGTTTTAGGAATGCCGTAAATGTTTGGTGCTGTTTCTAATGGGTAAACTCGTGTATGTTTCCAGGGAAAATGTATGCCTGCCAGTATTGTGATGCTGTGTTCGCCCAGTCCATTGAGCTGTCCCGCCACGTGAGGACCCACACCGGGGACAAGCCATATGTCTGCAGGGACTGTGGCAAGGGCTTCCGGCAAGCCAATGGCCTGTCCATCCACCTGCACACCTTTCACAGTACGTACCGAGATTGTGGAGTGGATGTCAGGCTCTGGCTCTGAGAGGGCTCGTAGCAATCATGACAGAAAGTGACACTCCACCAGAGCCAGCCCCGTTTGCTGTCTTCCCCTCCCCTATTCTCCTGCAAAACCGAGTCCCTTGTTCCTATTCCAAGAAAAATCCCATTTTAACGTGTCATCGTGTAACGTCCAGGCTGTTTCCTTGTCTTCCTTTTTAGACCACCTGGTACTGCTTGGCTGACAAAGGCAAATTATGCTCGAAGGAGATCCTTGATAACAGGCTGCAGAGCACCAGAATATTCCCATTAGTCCACCGAGCTTCTCTTTCCACGCCCCCTCCCGCCCCCACTCATCTCATAGCCCTACCCGCCTTCCCCATAGGAGCGGCCGGACACTGTCTGAGCTCACGCACACCGTTGTACGTGGTCCCTGCTCACGCCGCCCTGAAAGCCTTCTGCCCCGCGTTCTCTCTCCAGGGCTCCCCTGGCCACTTGGTCAGTGGGCTCTGCCCCCATTTTTGTCCCCTTCTACTGGCACTGACACAAAGATGTGCTACTGTTCGACACACACATAGGAAGGTAAAGAAAACTCCGTCCTCATTCCGGCCTCGGGAGATGGCCAGTGTGGTGTGTGGCTGGCCACATTGCGTCTTCTCCAGCAGCAGGCGTGTGATCAACACCGTGTCCCCGGGAGTCAGGAGGAGCTTGGGCTCTGAAATCACACGGGCCTGGACTTAAATCTTGACCCTGCCGTTTTCTTCCTTGAGACCTTAAGCAGATTTCTTTACCTTTCTAAGCCTCCCGTACCCCTTCTGTACATGAGAGAAAGTGATGCCGCCACCTTGGATCGCTGTGAGAGTTAGTGAGGTATCCCGTGTAAAGCGTGACACAGAAATGCTCACTAAATGCCAGATGTTATTACTGGATGAAAGCAGCCCTCCCAGATGCCATTTGTCACCGTCAAAGCCGGTCTCTTTAGCACGTCATGCACCCTGCATACCCTTCTCCCTTCTCCCCTCCCCTCCCCACCTCTGTTTCCCTTCTCCCCTCTCCTCTCCCCTCCCCGCCTCTGTTTCCCACACACCAGTTTCTAGCTGTCGGCAAACACAGGGCCTCACAAACATGTACTTAATGTCGACCCATGCAAATCTGTTATCTGCCAGCTGGCAAAGGACATTGTTGGGGCTCCTCTGTGCCCAGCCCGGGGCTGGACACTGTGGACGATGCAGGAGGTATACACAGGGCTGCCCCCTCCCCCCGAGGTGTTCCTGGGTCCCAACGTCCAGCTCGTGAGGCTCCCAGATGAGTGAGATCTGGCTTGGATCTAGTGCCATCATTTTATGTCCTTTCAGCCTTTTTGAATGCCATGCTCCTCTGGTCTCCTTTTCCTGGTAGCATTACCGGGGAGAGGGGTGAGGGCGGGACCGGTCAATCGTCAGGACGCAGAGGACCCCAAAGACTTGTGGGTGTTAGGAAGCGTCCCCGGTGGCAGGCCAGCATCCAGGCCCCTCTCCTGAACTGTTCCTGACCTGTGTCACAGGCCCGCATCGTGGCTTGCGGAGAACCGCTTCAGAGCGCCCTGACGGCAGCGTAAACTGAGATTTCAAGAGCTCGTGTCCACAGGGAAACTAGTTGATGACACCGAGTGCTGCTGCGCGTCCAGATTCTTGAATTAATCTGACTTGGTGCACGTGTAGGATTGGCTTGTGGGGAAAGGATTAAAACATTCTGCTTTCTGTTGCTTTCAGAAAAAATAAACTGAAGTTTCCTGCCAAAGGGACAGCACACGTTTCCTGCATCGGTGCTGGTTCTTGTTTGTGAGGCCTCACTGCAGGGTTGGCATGTCCAGTTAAGCAGGTGGCTCGGAGCAGGGCCACGGGAATGAGAGCTGGGACTGTCACCCAGTTCAGCCATTCCCACTTGTGTCACTGCGCGGGCAGTCTGTAAGCCTTGCTTTTCCTAATCTCTAAAACAGGATGATAATAGATCCCACTCGTAGGATTATCGGAAGGATAAAGGGAGTTAATACGTGTAAGGCACTTAAAACATGCCTGTTGCATGGCACTCATTAAACATTGAAAATGTTTTTTTTTTCTTGAGTCTAAGGCGAGGAGCGAGGAAGCCTTCTTCCTGTCAGTCATGTGCTGACAATTAAGGAGATAGCATGCTCCGGCGAGTTTGCTGGAAATCTCTGTAGAAAACGAGAAAACTCAGAAATGCCCACCGCGAGCAGGGAAAGAGCAAGGGCACTACTCCGTGCAAAGTACTTACGCGGAATTTAACTTGTAGGGTGTAACGTGAGGAATCGGGATGAACCGCTTGATGCCGCAGAGGTGGTTAGTACAGAGGCCTCGGGGGAGTCCCTCCTCCCGGGACGAAGGTAGGGGGCAGTCAGGTGACCACCGCACTCGCAGCTGGTCCTCAGAGTCTGCGGCCGTGCCTGACGTCTGAACGGAGTCTGGCACCTGGAGCTGCACACGGCCCGCGTCTCACTGACTGCTGCCTGTCCTATCTTTTCCCCTCCGTCTCTTCTCACGATGGCCTGTGGCACCAGACATAGAAGATCCCTACGACTGCAAGAAATGCCGGATGAGCTTCCCCACCCTGCAGGACCATCGCAAGCACATCCACGAGGTCCACTCCAAGGAGTACCACCCCTGCCCCACGTGCGGGAAGATCTTCAGCGCCCCTTCCATGCTGGAGCGGCACATGGTGACCCACGTCGGGGGGAAGCCCTTCAGCTGCGGGATCTGCAACAAGGCCTACCAGGTGACCTCAGGCTCTGCCAGGAGCGCCTCCCCCTGTCCCCAGGCTGCCCTCCCCTCGATCTGCTGGGAGCCCTGGAGACGCTGATGTGGCCGCTTCCCGTGAAGGATGCAGCTTGTAATTACTCAGACTCTCTAGGGTGATCTGGTCAGAGTAATGCTGTTGGGAGCTTTAATTGCCGAGAATTCCTACACCTCTCCTTTCAGGTCTCAGCCTTGTCACGAACTGAATGCTGCTTTTCCCTGCGGACATTCACACTCTGTGGAACCCATTGACCCTGTGTGTTAAGGGATGTGAGCGTGACGATGGCTGCGTAACACTGCCTGGAACTCCCTTATCTAGCACAATTACTGGGTGGTGGTGGTTGTGTAACTCCCAGGGAAGGGGGTCTGCTTTTTCACGTTCGAATTTGGTATGTGATTGAAGGGAAACCCCATATGGAACTAAAAAGAAACCACATACGAGAAACTCAACTCTAAAACTACAGAGAAAACAGTGGTTCTTGTGACAACTGTAAGATTTGGGTATACGGAGAGAAGCACAGCAGCTAATTTCAGCTCAACAGAAATGGAGTGCTAACTTTGTGCCGAGCTGGTGCTGTGACGTCAGGGTTACAGAGCTGAGTAAGGCCTGGGCTTGGCCTCTAGGGAAGCGGAACTGTAGGCACAGTGTCTCGGGGCTGTTCTGGAGCCCAGAAAGGAGTAGCAGTTGCTTATGGAGCAGGGACGACAAATGCTTCTGCTCCAGGAGGGTCTCTGCTGCTTCCCTGGGCCTCTGGGAGGCAGTGGGATACAGCCCACACACTCCAGGTGGAAGGCCAGGGTTTGAATCCTGGCCCTGCTCTGTACTAAATCATATGATGTTGGGCAAATCATTTAGCCCCTCTGTGCCTCAGCTTCCACCTCGCTAGAAAGGTCTGGCCCCTCTCTCATAGGTTTGTTGTGAGGGGTGAAAAGTTTCTGAAGGGCCAGGCTGAGCCCTGCCCCATAGTAGCCTCTTGGCAAATACACAGGTGCCTTGTTCCCCAGCCTTTCCTCTCACGTGGGCTCTCAGTGTGACAGGTAAGAGTGTGGGTCTAGACCCATAAGCTCATTTGTCTCACGAGGGCCTGGTGAACTCTCCAGCTTGTTGGAACGTTCCAAGACTTAACATGTGCCGTATTCCTTGCAGCAATTGTCTGGTTTGTGGTACCACAACCGGACCCACCACCCTGATGTGTTTGCCGCTCAGAATCACCGATCTTCCAAATTTTCATCGCTCCAGTGCGGCTCCTGTGACAAGACCTTTTCCAACACCGTTGAACACAAGAAGCACATCAAAGCAGAGCATGCAGGTGAAGTTCGGGTGCCTGTAGATGGGGTGGGAGCTGACGGGTGGAGTGGCTAGATGACAGCATCCTGAGCTCTGTCCACAACCCCAACTTCCGGGGCTGTGGTGTGGTGTGGCAACTGCCTTCGTTCTGTCCCAGCACACCACCGCACTGGCCCGTCGGTAACGGTAAGCAGCAGCTTGAGTGGCTGTGGTTCTCAGACCCAGAGGCCTGGAGCACCATAAGCTCCTACGGGCCCCTGAGCGACAGTGGTTCATGATGGTACCCGGGAAGCGGCAGACGGGCTTGGGTGGACTCCTGACTCCGGCACTGATCGGCTGCATGACCTCGGCCGGTGACCGCTCTCTTCTGAGCCAGATTCCTTCTCTTCAGAAAGTTCTTAATACCTACCTCGCAGGTCAGCCTGCGGGGTAATCACTGCGGGCTTGAAGCATCTCCTTTGTGCGAGGTGCACACTGAGCTCTGGTGGGTGCCTTCTCCTTCCCCTCTCACGGCAGCCCTACTTTCCTCGGGCGGCCCGTTCTGATCTGGTGCTCTTTACACTAGACCGCACTAACAGGTCGTAGGCACGAGGTTCCCAGCCCCGGGGAGATGCTGGCTAAGTGTTCGCCGTCACCGCCACCCCCAGCCCTGTGCCTCTCCAGCCCGAGAGGGCCGTCTTCTTGTTCGTTCCCAGCACCTCTTTCCTTGTGTGCCCCGCAGATACGAAGTTCCACGAGTGTGACCAGTGTAAGGAGCTCTTCCCCACACCGGCCTTGCTGCAGGTTCATATCAAGTGCCAGCATTCAGGTCAGTGCCCCTTCCACGATGTTCCTGGGCCCCGCCGCCCCGGGGATGCTCTTCTCCACCGTCCACGGCTGTGCAGTGTGCGGTCCAGGACCCTTAATGTGTGCCTCAGTTTCCTCATCTATTAAACGGGGACAATCGTAGTGCCTCCTTCCTCACGGCGTAACTGCAAACTGAATGTGTTCGTACCCAGAGAACACGGGAGGCGCGACCCCAGTGAGCATCCCTCAAGCGCCACTGTGATTATCGTAGTCAGGGCTGTGTCTCATGAAACCTGAAATGCTAGTTTTTTTTTTTTTTAATTTTTTTTTTTTCAACGTTTATTTATTTTTGGAACAGAGAGAGACAGAGCATGAACGGGGGAGGGGCAGAGATAGAGGGAGACACAGAATCAGAAACAGGCTCCAGTCTCCGAGCCATCAGCCCAGAGCCTGACGCGGGGCTCGAACTCACGGACCGCGAGATCGTGACCTGGCTGAAGTCGGACGCTTAACTGACTGCGCCACCCAGGCGCCCCTGAAATGCTAGTTTTTAATGAGCCATTAAGAAAGAAACACTGCTGCCAATTAAACCATACTTAGTTGTCACTTAGAATTTGCAGGCCATTCTCAGTGCCGTTTGGGACTTAATGTGACGTAGGCTGTACCCACTCCTGTGTGTGCACGTCGGGAGGAAGGTAGACAGAAATCACGGTGAGCAGCCGCTTCTCAGAGTAGCTCTCAGTTTGACCGCCAGGGCGTGTGTCATCGTGCGTGATGTCTGCTCCGCATCAGCAGCACTGGGGACGGGCACACGCAGGCCGTCGGTGTTGGTCCCCTGAGCGTTAGGGAAAACTAGCCCCCTTTGTCCTGCTCTGGGGAGGTAGCTGAGCATCCACCGCTTACCGCGTCCCTCCTCAGCCATTTGGTTCCTGTGAGCTAGCAACGTGCGCTGCTCCCGTCTCGGGGGTTTCCTTCGAAGCCCTGGACGCACACTCCGCAGGGCTTGGTGCCGCCACCTTAGATGTCCGTCCCCGTGCAGCCGTTGGTAATTGTACGTCGCCCGCCGCCTGGCCCGCAGCAGTCATGAGATGCCGTTGGCTCCGCGTCAGGGATGTTAAAATGTGCCTCTGGGACCTGATGAAGTGTAGTATCAGCAGCACCCTTACCTGCAGTTAAGTGAAGAATGGGCTTCAGCAGAGGCACTTGGAGCCTGAATCTGGTGCTGGTGCTGTGCTGCAGAGCCTCTCACCTGCGTGGAGCCCATTCCTGTATCTTTCATGTTGCGTTGCTTTTCCTAAAGAGGATCCCCAAAGCTACAAGCTTCAGGCCCCTCAGAACCTACATCTGCGTCTGCACCTTGATCCCGGCCGCGCGGCCTCTCCCCTGTCCCTGCTCTTCCTTCTCTCGGTCGTTCCACCCCCAGCCCGTCCTTTGTGTCCCCCTCTTCCAGGGTCGCAGCCGTTCAGGTGCTTGTACTGTGCGGCTACTTTCCGCTTCCCGGGAGCACTGCAACACCACGTCACCACGGAGCACTTCAAGCAGTCAGAGAGCACCTTCCCCTGTGAGCTCTGCGGGGAGCTCTTCACCTCGCAGGCCCAGCTTGATGGCCACTTGGAATCTGAACACCCAAAGGTGACGGGCTCTGAGACTCAAGCAGCAGCCTCACAGGTGGGGCAGGTGATGCTGGGGCCTTCGGATACGAGGGTGCTAACACGGGGTTCCTAAGGCTTCTCTAGAGGCAGCTCTGTCACGCCACCTGGCCTTTCTCTCGGGCTCCCAGAGGGTCCCATGAGTAATTATATTCACGACCAAGAGGGCCTTGTAGAAGAGTCTCTCTGGACCTCTTAACCAAACAAAACAGAAAATTCTAGTCTCCTGGCGAACACATGCAGATGGCCCCTGGGTAGAGGGATCCTGGAACGAGAATTTCCAAAAGCACAACAAGCTTGGTTTCTCCTCATTCACACACTCCCCATCTTCTGCAAAACACCCTGGGGTACGGCAGGAGCTGCGGGAGGCCTCAGAGAAGAGGGGGTGAGCTCTCTGTCGGGACCCCGGCCGTTGAAGCCTGAGACCAACCACCTTCAGGGCCAGAGACACCTTCGAAACACATTGGGTGTGTCAGGGCCATTCACCTTTCCCGGGGGGAAGCTCGCCTCTTCTGATGTTTCAAAACTAAGCTTGCTCCAGCCCCTGTCTGTGTCCCTGGTCCTCTTCCTGCTCTTCCTGTCTTCTCCAGCGAGGGTGGGTAGAGGAGGAAAAGAAACCCAGTTCTGTCGATCGTCTGTGGGTGGACTGGAACGGAAGCGTTAACTCCTTCAACGTCCTGCTGTCCAGCCCCACAGATGAGTCCTTTGTGAGCCGTGTTCTTACGGGCCTCTGTGCGAGCAGAGAGCAAGACAGGTGGGCAGGCTCCAGGGAAGTCCCTGCTGCTGTGTCACCCAGGATGGCTCTGCTTTGATCTTTTTTATATATTAGGATTCTTGGTAAGTTATGATGTCTTATGAAGAGGGCGAAGAAAAAGGTTTCTGATGCTAAAGAATAAGGAGAAACAGTTTGAAAACTGCTATCCCGGGTGATTTTTTATTAGACCTCAGAATTAGTCCCCTCACCCCCACAGCACAGACAGGTGACTGAGCTTGGCCTCCCCCCTTCTGCCCCCTCAGGTCTAGCGCTCTGCTCCTCACTCTGGGCTGATTCTCAAGGGCCAGGGTGGCTGTGCCCACTACGGGCTCTCTGGTTTCAGAGTATCAGGGGGCACCAAGCTGTCCCGAGCTCCACAGGCCACGAGCATCAGCGTGGAGGT